GGCGGCAAGGGCCCAGGCGCCCCCGTCGGCAGGCGAAGCGCACCCCCTCGCCGACGGCGAAGAACTGTCAGCCATCGGCGCGAAACAAACACAATACATTCAACCTGGCTAGCATGCATCTATGCAATCGACGAGCAGCGCTGAACCGACCACTGAACCTCCGCTGCTGATGCACAAGGAGCACGCGCCTTGCGGTGCAAACATCTGAGCATCTGACTGGAAAGACGTTAAGAACTACCCGCATTGCGATGGGGGTTCGACTTCGAAATCGCCCCATTACAGCCGATCTGTCTGAAGGCTGTAGATCATGGCGACTCCAGCAGCTCCATCGCGAGACTCGGCGCGCAAGTAATAGCTTAATTAAGTCTGCTGCGCTTGACCGAAGTTCGCGTCGATAGCGCCGGGGGTTCTTGCCCGGGCCAATCCAGGCCCAGGCCAGCAGGGGACCAAAAACTGCAGCGCAAGGGGAAAATTGCAGCGCAGGTCTTCGCAGACCCCAGTCAGCCAATATGCGCGGCCGCCTCGCGGCCACGAACGGCTTGCTAACCCGGGTCAGCCAGAGGGGGTCTTCGCAGGGTCCCGCTGAATCCGGCGCCCTGGCTGGCCCCCATTTGCATTGACCCCTGTCTCCTGAGCCCCGATAATGGTCGCGCCAGGGGCGCCGTCTGTCTGCGCGAAAGTGCACGGCCCAATGCGCGCGCACTGACAGCTTATCCATCGAGTAAAGACAGAGCAGGCAGCGGGCAGTCGCAGCTGTGATCGCGAGTGCTACCGCGCGCGCGGATGGTGAACGCGCAAGCCAAATTACCCACAACAAGCTGTCTGGCGGGCGGTCAATTCGGCTGCGCACTCGCCGGCTGGCGATAGTCCACGCCTGTCGTCGAACGCGCGAAGCTCAGTCTCATGTGCTTGCTTCTGCAGCCAGTCTCTCATAACGTGCCTCGGCAGATCGTCTGCAATATCCTCGACGGTGCACGTCGCATACCTTGAAATCAAGGTTTTCCTGGTTTGCCACAGCCCTAACTAGCTTAACCCACTGCGCCTGATTGTTCATGGCCTCTCAGTGATTTGCGATTGCCATCGATGCGATTGTTTCACTCGTCAAAACTGCCTGCATGCCCACTCCGAAATCACTAAGCACTGCCTGCGCCCAGTCCGGCAGCGCCTCCCCTTAATTACCCTTCCACGGTGCTCGCCTTCGCCCGACGATCAAGATTTCGTTGCTCGAATCGAAAACAACAAATTCTCGCGCGAGCCCCCGCGCACCTTCTCTTCCGATTGTTGACATCCTCGGTTTCCTCGGACGACCACCCAAAGAAACTCACTTTTTGCGTCGGCGGCCGGGCGGAGAACGACTGCCCCGGCAGGGCGGACTGGCAACGGGGGACACGCAGCAAGCAAATTAAAAGCCGCGACGCACGGCGCGACAGGGAGAGAGGATGCCCGGCCACGCAGAGCTGCTGGCAGCGGCGGGGGGGGGGGCACAGAGGGGAGGAGGGGGGGGGGCAGCGCCTGAAAACAAGGCTGCGCTGGGCTGCGCTGAGCCGGAGCTGGGGGCGGGGCTGCCTGGAGCTGCAGATGGCGGTGGGAAACAAAACGACGCAAAGCCCAACCCAGTGGGCCAGGCGCAGTCCATGGGTGGCCTAGTGCGCCGAGGCCCGCGACCCTGCGAGGCGCGCGCGAAGAGACGGAAGGCAGAGAGGCATGACTGGGCAGCCCTGGCTGCGGGCGCCGCGCCGCGCGCAGTCTCGATGGCTGGCGCTGGGCAGCGCGAGCTGGACAGGGCTGAAGCTGGTGCTGAGCGGCACCGAGCAGTAGCTGAAGCCAGAGAAGCAGAGCCCAGCCCAGCGGGCCAAGGCGCGGTCCAAGGATGAGCCGAAGCGCCGAGACCCGTGGGCCTGCGAGGCGCGGGCAGGGAGGGGCGGAAGGCAGGCGATGGCACCGCGCAGCCCTGAGCGGCGCAGAGCAGCGCGGGGGCGGCCCAGGAAGACGGCGGAAGGGGGGGAAAGGCGCGCGTCCAAAGCCTCGACCCGCGTCGACGGGAAGGCACCCCGACGTCGGCAACGGCGGGGGGCGCCGAGACCAGGAGCACCAACGGACCCGCCCGGGGAATGAGAGACGGCCCAGCGGGGCGCAACGGCTCGGCAGCCAGGGCAAAGAAGGAGGAGGGCGACGCCAAGGGGGGACCGGCGGGCCCGGGCGCGGGCAGGGCGAAGGAGAAAGGCGACGGCAGCGAACGCCATCCGGAAGCGGGAGCGCAAGGAGGCCACGCCTAGTGGGGGAGCGGCGAGCCAAGCGAGGCGAACGAGCGGGCCCTGAGGCAGGGAGCCATCTGGGCAGCGACCGAGAGCGGCGAGGTGCCATAGGGGCAACAGCGGGCAGACACCGGTAGCCGGCGCTGGGGAAGTGGCCAGACAACCAAGATAATGGGGAGGACACAGGCACCGTAGCGAGCGTCGCCCTGCCGGCAAAGCACGGCAAGGGCCAGCGGGGCGCCACGGGCAGGGCCTGGGCAAAATCTGCAGAGGGCCGGCGCCCCAAGAGGCAGGGGGCGGCGGCAGGACAGGTCGCCCCGAGGCGGGCGGGAGGGGCGGCCCGGCGATCGCGAGCAGGACGCGGAACCGACGCTGGCGGCTGCGGGAGGAGGACAGCCCCGAGCGAGAGTTGGAGGCTTGCGGGGGGGGGGGCACCGAACAGGCGCGCGGTGAAAAGCGCGGCCACACGGGCAGGGACGGGAGGGCGGCGGGCAGGCCCCGAGCGAGGGCTGGGGGCCTGCGGGGGGGCACCGAATAGGCGCACGATGTGGGAAAGCCGCGGAGGCAAGGAGGGGAGGAGCACGGCCAGGGCGGCCACTGCCAGGGCAGGGACGTCAAGCGCAGTGCAGGAGGAGGTGGAAGGGCAGCTACCCGGACGCTACCAGCGGTGGCTGCTGGAAACTGACCCGCGCTGGCGGGAGGGTCGTTGCTGAGCCAAGAGGAGTCCGCCGGCCGCAATGATTTCCTGTGCGGCGGGGCACCCTTTCCATTTTTGTCTTTCGCGAGCTCGGCGTTTTGCCTCCGTTTGTCAAGTTCGCGATACCACCCAGCGCGCCAATCGACTTGTGCGCCTTTCTTCCAGCAAAGTCAGGGAACGTCGTTACTGGCCTCGCTGAGGTCACGCGCGAAACCTTGGCATAATTGAAAGCTGTGACGTTGGGAGTCTTTGGCGGAGTGGGGTCCACAGTCCTGGTCGCAGATGGCATTCCACCCGATGGCCAACATGGGGCCACATTCTTTCTTGAGGCGGTTGATCACCGCTCTCCAGTCCTCCCTTGCGTTGGCTCGGGTGTTGCAGGTCGGGTACCAGGTCACCTGGTGCCTTGGCTTGTAGTAGAGCACGTCATTGTTGCCCGACTGAGGCGCGGGCAGCGTGAAAAGGGGCGGGTGGCGCGGTGCCGGCTCCTGTCTCCAGGGCGGGGTACTTTCCGCTGAGCCTCGTCCGCGCCACTTCTGGGATGCGCCTGGGCTGCTCTGTTCGCTGGTCCTGGGGGTTTTGCGCACTGGTTCTTCTGCTGCGGTCTGCGAAGCGTTAGAATTGGGCTGATCTGCGGCCTGCGAAACGAATAAGACGATTAAAACTAATAAAACTCATCAAACTAAGAAAACGAGTAAAGCGAATAAGAATATGAACACGAATATAACTAATAAAACAAACTAATCAAATAAAACTGATAAAACACATACAACGAATATAATACGAATAAAGAGGACAATGCGAACAACACGAACAAAACAAACAAACGAATAAAACAAATAAAGTGAAACAGTATGGCAAAGAGTACACTAAGTTCCTCCAAACACATACGTATATGAAGACGTCCTTGTTCGTCAAACTCGTCCCTGCTCCCTCCGACACTAGCCTTCCTCATCCTCAGCAGTTGCCAAGTCTGAATACTGATCTCATCGCGGCACCGACAATCTGTCAGTGTGCTCAATCAGCTCGCCCATCACTGTTCACACATGCACGAATACACTAACATACGCACAAGCACAAGCACAGACACAGACACCCATGCTGCCCAAACGTTCAAGGCTTGTGTCTCCTACGAGGAAGCTGGACAACCATCCGACTGCTCACACATCTGGCTGTAAACACATCGGATAGCTTGGTTTCGATCCGAGCGTTCTTGGTCCGTCAACTCGCCATCGCTCGGACGTCCATTCCCTGTGTTTTTTCGGTTTCGTGCGTGTTTTTTTCGCCAAGTGAGCAAGGATGCTCCTCGATGGTCCTCGCCGAAGGAAATATGCACACGTCCGAGCGATGCCAAGGTAAACACATCGGAGAGCTTGTTTTCGATCCGGACGTTCTTGGTCCGTCAAACGCTGTACTCCTGCTGCAGCTCCGGGCGCACTGCTGGATCGGTCCCCGGCGCCTGCCGTTCCGCATGGCGATCTCTCGCCCTACCGCGGGCCACGGTTCCTCGTCGCCGCCGCCTCCTCTTTCCCCTCCTCCGCCCTCCTCCCCCCTCCGCGGATCCTCCTGCTCCTCCTGGTTTGTCCTGCTGCTGCTCCTGGCCCTCCTCGCCTCACCCTCCGAATCCTGTTGATCTTCCTCCTGCTCCTCCTCCTCCTCCTCCTCCTCCTCCTCCTCCTCCTCCTCCTCCTCCTCCTCCTCCTCTTCCTCTTACAGGAGACCCTCGGTCTGACCATGCAAAACCTGATGGGTCAAATACTGCACCTGCTGTTGGCACCAACATCATCTAGAACACCCCAACCCGTGCATAGAGCGGGATTCAACGCACCGGGCGGGATGGGTGGAAGGGGTATGATGTCAGAAGCGGCGCGAGCGCATATCGTTTCTCTCATCCTCCTCTCCCCTCGCCTCCCGCGGAGGAGGAGGACAGGAGGGGAGGAGGGAGAGAGCAAGAGGGCATGAGGAGCTGGAAAAGGCCTCCTCCTCCTTCTCCTCCTCCTCCTCCTTCTCTTACCCGCTGCCCGCTGGTTCAGCCGACGGGGCCGATCCTTGTGCCTCTTCTTCCCGAGCAGGCCCTCGCTGAACATGTGGCATACCTGTTTGTGCCACCTGTCGGAGACGATCGGCGTGGAGGAGCACACCTGCTAGGCACGCCCCCAGAGCTGCGTCCGCACGGAAGAGAAGGCTCCTGCTCTTCGTCGTCAACCTCACCCTCCTCCTCCTACTCCTTCCCCCTCATCCTCCATCACTCCTCCTCCTCCTCCTCCTCCTCCCTCCTCCGGGCCTCCCCGTCCTTCTCCCCCTTCTGTAAGAAGCAGGTCGCTGCGGGGTGGGCTCTGGGCGTTTTTCGATGTCAGGAATCAACGGTTTTCGGTTTGGCCGCCACGAAAAACAGCGCGCTCGTTTTGTGCTTCCGAACCCCACAAAAACGATTAACCACGACGTAGCAAGCATGAAATTCCAGGCCTGAAATCTAGCAAAACGACCGCAATTGTCGAACACGGCAAGAAAATCAAATCTCGCCCGCGCACGACACGCGAGCGACAGACCGCAGCTGGCGAACCAAATTATGAGCGAAAACAGCCGCAGACGGCGGTCGCGCATGAAATCCTTCATGATTTTGTACCACACTGAAGAACTGCACCCGAACAACACCCGAGACACTGAGAAACCCAATGCCCGGATACCCAGATGCCAAGAACATCTGTGGAATTTCGTGCTTGCTACGTCGTGGTCAATCGTTTTTGTGGGCGTTCGGAAGCACAAAACGAGCGCGCTGTTTTTCGTGGCGGCCAAACCGAAAACCGCTGATTCCTGACATCGAAAAACGCCTAGTGCGCCTACCGCCCGCCTGGCGGAGGGCACTGACACAAGGAGGAGGAGGAGGAGGAGGAGGAGGAGGAGGAGGAGGAGGAGGAGGAGAGGAGGCACGGGAGAGGAGGAGGAGCCCTCGGATCCTCGCGAGTCGCCCCAGGCACGCGGAGTGAGGCGGGGGAAGCGCGGGCGAGGCGCGATCGCGCGTTTGCGCGCCGTCTGGAGCCCGCGGGGGCCCCGAACGGCGCGAGCGCGCGCTCGGCGCCTCGGTCGGCGCGCGAACTCGCGATCGCGGCTGTCCGCGCGCCCCGCCGCCTCCCCCCGCCTCCGCCGGCTACCCCCGGCTACCCCCCGGCTGCCCCTCAGTCTCCAATCTTCGGCTGAGGCGGGCGGCCCCCGGCTACCCCCTGCTGCCCCTGGCTGCCCCGGCTAACCCCAGCTACCCTCCGGCTACCCTCCCCCTGCAGCGCTCGCCGCCGCGCCGCGCGCCGAGAGCCTACGACGCGGCGGTGGTCGCGGCGGAGGGGGCCTAGGAGGGCCGCCGCGGCCGCCGCGGCCGCCGCCGCGCTCTCTGGAGGGCTCGGAGGGTGGGCTCCGGAAACTTTCGCAATGCCTCGGGGTGCCTCGGAAAATTTCGGAAGGCCTCGGCAATCTTCGGAAGGCATCGAGAACCTTTCGGAGGGCCTCGGGGGGCTTCGGACACCTTCGAAAAGGATAGGAAATCCTTTGGAAAGCTTTGGGGGACCTCGGAAACTTTCGGAGGGCTTCGGAAATCTTCAGAACGAGCTCGGAAGGCTGCGCGCGACTGCCGACGCGACCGCGCGCTCCCCTTCCGCCGAAACCGCACTCCCCTCCCACCGCCCCCTACAACCCACTGCACCAGAAAACGGGAAAGGGCTGTAACATATGGCACAAAAATACAATGTGTTGGAAATAAGTCTTGTTTCTGATACATGACACATACGGAAAATATGTAAGAACGTCGCTAACATACACGCGGCTGACGAAAGTGCGGCGCGAACCGAAAGGCCGAAATGGGTTTGGCGCTAACCTAACAGAAAGTGCGGCGCTAACCTGACCGAAACTGCGGCGCTATTGTATGACAATTGGCGCGATGTGCTGCTTACTAACATGATTCTAACGATATCAGGTGAAAACGAAACCATATGGAAAATGGTGCGAAATATTGTATTACCCCCACTTTTCTCATATCCTCCCCCCAGCTTGTTTCCCATAATATTTGTCGCCTACCACCCCACAGCGACCTGCTTCTTACACCCCCTTCCCTCCTCCCCCATCCCTCCTCCCCCGTCTCTCTTCCTCCCCTCGCCTGGTCCTGGTCCTGGTCCTGGTCCTCCTCCTCCTCCTCCTCATCCAACCTCCCTCCCCTCCCATCCTCCTCCTTCCCCTTCCTCTACCTCCCTCCTCCCCCTCCTCCCCCCTCCCTTTTCTGCCCCCGTGCAGGAGGAAGGAACCCAAACGGAAGAGACTGTGAGCGAGGCAGAGGGCGGGATGGAATGGCATGGAGAAGCCAGGAGGGAGGTGCACAGCACCGAAGCAGCGAAAGCAGCCGCCGCCCGATCCGCGCCGCGGGCCGGCGAGGCAGGCGGTCGGAGATGGAGGGAGTACCGTCGGGGCGTTGACCCGAGGAACCCCAAGTAAGGAACGAGGCCCCTCTTCTCTCCAGAAGTTCCACTTCGGCTTCCCATCGACGATCCAGGGATAGCCTGGGGCAACACGTGAAACAGTGGAGGAACCAACGAGAGGGGCTCCTTATTCAGAGCCCCGACTGCATGGAGGAAGAGGGAGCGAGCGGAGGAGGAGGAGGCACGAGAGAGCGTGCGAGAGAGAGAGAGAGGCAGCCAGAGGTGCGAGCAGCGCGGATACACGTCTTGCCGCCGATCGCGCACGGAACGCCACCGCCCGGGCACCCTCGGAGAAAGCCCCCGCGCAGACACCCGCCGCGCACGGGGCCGGCCGAACTGGAAAAGCAAAAGCACACTGAAGGAGCCCAGGGACACACAAGGAAATACACACACAAGTCCCAGGATTCCTCACGTGTTCCCCTCTTTTCTGGGCTGTCGTTTTCCCCCCCTACCCACCATAGTTTCCCATCTTGTCCTGGGAATCGACGATCAACTGTGTCTGTGTGTTTCTTTCCCTCCTGCGCAGAGACTGTCGGAGGTCCGAGCGGACCCTCGAAAGTCTACAGTCAACCCGCACAGCAAGGGTGAGCGGCTTTCCAAGCTGACCCTTCTGCATCCTTCCCCTTCGGCCTCTCCTCGGCCGTCTTCGCTGGCCGCGCCCCGCTCGCAACGTGTCGACATGGCCTGCCGGGGCCCTTGCGTCCTTCCCGCGCGTCCTCATTGTACGGACTGGCCGTGTGCCTCTGCCGCCTGCTCTCCTTCGGGGATGGACAGAACCCCCTTTAGCAAAACGTGGTTTACATGAAACCGACCTCGGACCCAAGCCCTGGCGGGCGCAAGCCTGGAAAATGACGACCGCGGCGCCCTCTCGAGAACCGAAACGGACAATTCACAAATCGACGTGTCAGGGTGGGGGTTCTTAGAGGCCTCCTGGATGGGGTCCGAGTAGATGGGGTCGGAGGATCGCGCCGCATCGGCGATGCATCGGCGATGCATCGGCGACGTCGGCGTGGAGGAATTGGGCTCCGCATCGAGCCGCATCGCCGTTGCATCGTCGATGCATCGGCGATGCGGCGCGATCCTTCGCAGGGACCGACCGTCCCGGCATTCCTATAGGCCTACCACGACATGTTCTTTGAACCCGAACATGTAAGAACAAACACAATCTTCTTAGAACATGAACCTTGTGTGTTAAAGCAAGACATCCCTGGCCAGAAATGCTCTAAGACCATCTCGCGCAGACCACAAAAGGTCCTCAGAACATTCTTTGGGGGGGGACCCTAAGCGGGGGGGTGAGTTCGATCCGCCGGTGCATCGAATTCCCGTAAAACGATGCTCCCCGCGCGCCCCGATTGTCGACGCCTCTCGCGTTCCGGCGGCGGCCGGAGTCCTCGTTTTGCATAGTTTTTCTGCGGTTCGATGCGCCAACGGACCGAACTCCCCCCCCCCCGTGCCCCCCCCCCCACACTTTTGCGAGGCCCCGATATAGGCGAGCCAGGACGCTTCGCCACTGCTTGATCTTCTCCGATCCTATCTAGGAGGCCCAGAGTTCTGTCCACCGCGCACCGGGGCCCACCCGCCCGAAAGGTGGGGGCGGGAATGAGGAGGAGGAGGAGGAGGAGGAGGAGGAGGAGGAGGAAGGAGGAATGAGGAGGAGGAGGTGAGAGAGGGGGAGGAGAGGAATGAGGAGAGGAATGAGGGGGAGGAGGAGGAGGAGGGGGAGGAGGAGGAAGGAGGACACCTTCCGGCACCCCTGCGCGTCGCCGACCCCTCGCCCCGAGCCGTCCCCGCGCGAGGGCCGCGCGAGGCGGCGGCCGAGCGGCGGGCCTGGTCCATGAAGCGCTTGGCGCGGCGGCGCTCGCCGCCCTCGCGGTCCTGGAAGAAGTCGACCACGTAGGGGCAGGTCTGGGGTCAGGTCGAGCCTGTCCCCCTACAGGGGGATTTTGGACGACAATGAATGCGAAAAAGCAAAAAAGAAGCCCCAAATGCCCCCAAAAACGGTCAAGCAGTCGTCACCAGACTATTTGTGGACTATTTTTGAACCGTCCTCCTGTAGAGGGACAGGCCCGACTCAAGTCTGGGGAGGGGGGCGCGCCCCTCTCGTCGGGGGGGGGGGAGCGCACACTTCTGCCAGGGGTTCCTCAGCTGGCTCGGCAGTGCTACTGCTGACTGGCTTGCCCCTGGAAGAGACGCCGAGCGGTGGGAGAGGAGGCCGAAATAGCCCTTCTCGTCGGGGGGGGGGGGAGGCGGAGGCAGGTGGAGCACGAGGGGGGGAGGGGGGGGGCAGGAGGCGGAGGGGGGAGGAGGCGTCGAGGAGGAGGAGGAGGAGGAGGAGGAGGAGGAGGAGGAGGAGGAGAGAAAGAACGGGAGTGGGGCAGAAGGGGGCAGGAGGCAGGAGGGGAGCGCGAGGCAAGAGGGGGCAGCATGAGGCAGGAGGAGGCAAGTGGAGGAGGCAGGACTGGAACTAAGATTACGCCAGCCATCGCAATTAGTAAAGCAGCTGCTACATCTTCAGCAGACGCGAACACAGCAGCAGCTGCATGAAAAGTACACTTCACCATGCCAGGCACGCCAATCTTTTTTCTCACCATCACTTCTGCAGTCATTATTTATTGCCTACATCTTGGCAACACTAAGACGAGGTACCTACACACTGAATGCCGCCAGCATCGCCTGCCAGCACGCTGTACAATACCAGCCAGTGTTATTGTGCACGCCGCCTTTCTAGCAACTATAACCTCTGCGATACGACCGACAGATCTTGTGCACTCCACTGTACTCCTCGACAGCTTTCGTGCACTTACGCATGTGCATCGGATGCTTCTGCAACTCTGCCAGCCCGCCTAATACACTACTGCGTGCCGGCGCACGGTACAGCCCCGCCTCACGCTACCCTAGTGGTGCCAACTTGCTTCAATAAGTACGCGTCTACCCCATCGGCACTAGCACTTCCCAACGAAAGCCCCTGCACTCGCAGCTCGCACAGACAGTGAAGGAGGGCGACCGACGAGAAGAGAAGGGGAGCAGGAGGACGGGGGATCAGCAGCAGGAAGGAGACGGCGAGGCGCTCCTGCTGAAAGTTGGAGCCGATGTCCTGGCACGTCTGCGCCTTGTCCCCCCCCACCTTCTGCAGGAACCCTGGGGTCTTGCTGCACCTCGGCGCTGAATCCAGCGGGGGGCTGGGTCATAGGGCAGCTCCAGCGGCGCAAATGAACGTTGAAGAGACGCTTCCAAAGGCGCTATGACCGCGGGGCAAGTGAAAAACAGTACAATAAGGATAATACTCGAGATGCGGAGCAGGAGGGGACCAGAAGGTTCGGAACTGAATTCGGCGGGAGGCGCAAAAAGACTGCGTTTGTGGCCTGCATATCAGGGATGAAGCGGTCGCAAGTAACCAGCACCGCTTCGCTCCCCACTATCCGGGCAAGTCCCAAGGCACCCTGCCCGTTCGCGCGGTGCGCATTCAGTTTAAACATCCACAAGCTGGGGATGAGGAAAAGGGAAGGGAGGTGGAGGAGGGAGAGTGGGCGGAGGATGAGGAGGGAAAGGGGAGGAGGCAAACATTCAGAGGAGGGTGCGGCAGGGGGAGAAAGAGGGGTAGAAGTGAGAAGAGAAGGATGAGGTTCGTGACTTAGGGTCGTTCCTTCTCATCTATCTTACCTCCTCGGTTTTGTTACCCTCCCCCTGGCGATGGCCAGGAGGGGGGCCACGAACTCGTCAGCTCGGAACAGCAAGCCGCCTACAGCCCGAAGCTCGAAGGAAGCTCGTGAAAGAGGAGGGGGAGGCGGGCGAACCCGCTCGGGAGGAGAGCCTCACGATCCCACGGCCCCACGGCTGATCGCAACGCCCCGTGGAGTGCGCAGATGTCCATGCCGGAGCCGCGGAGGCTCGGCGGCAGTTTCCAAGACATGCAGGTGCCCTGGGTCACCAAACTTCGCGCATCGCGCCCCGCGATGCGCGACGCGCGGCCATTTTCGAGCCTTCGCACCCTCGCGCCGTCCGCCCCCCCATTAGCGCAGGCCGCTCGAGCCCAGACCGCGACGCAGTGCGCGATTATCTTTGCCGCGTGGGGTAGGAAGAATGGACGGACCTTCTTGGGCCTTCTCAGCAAACACTGGAGGGTCCTGCTCGTGCGGGGGGGGGGGCACGATGGTGGAGCCGAAACCCTGGCAGGAGGAGGGCCTCGTGAACACAGCACAGCGGCAGCCAATCCATCCCGAGGGGGGCGCGCGGCTGGGGCTCCACACGTCGGGCTGTCTGCGCCGCGCGCGACGAAGGTAAGCTGCCAGTCCTTCGGGGGCGCTCCTTCTGCGAGAGGTACTGCTCTCTTCGGTGCAACTTAGACTCTCCTTGCCTTTGCGTGCGAGCCCCGTGCACTCTGACGCCAAGCGCCTGCCACCCACAGCCGCGTACCCCCCGCAAGCGGTGCAGGAACTCATGGGGTGACGCTCCCCTCTCTGTGCTGTGTGCGATGGGTGCACATGTCTGCCAGCAGCCAATGCATTCCTGTACTTTTGACCCACCACACAACCATCAGGCTGAAGATGAGGGGGACCACGGCAGGTCGGGCAGGTCGCACGGATGACTTTGGTCGCTGGCACAACCATATTACACTGACCGCGCTGCCATGTGCCTCCCGCTCTGTTCCAGCGGTGGCTCGAAGTGGCCATGGCGGTTCTGAATCGGGAGAAAGGGGAATTCGTCTGACAGCCTGAGCCAGTTCCCCACACCGTGGGTCACTTTCTCTCTCTCTCTCTCTGTCTTTCTTTCTCTCTCTCTCTCTCTCTCTCTCTCTCTATGTACGAAAAAATGATACCAGTGCGACCCTACCTAGGAGTTGGAGCCTCTAGGAAAGCAGCATTCGTAGTAACAGTAGAGCTAAGCTAAAGCTAAGCTAAAGCTAAACGGAAGCTAAGCTGAAGCTACGCTCAAGATAAGCTAAAGCTAAGCTAAAGCTAAGCTAAAGCTAAGCTAACGCTAAGCTACAGCTAAGCTAAATATCATGCTAAAGTTAAGCTGACGCTAAGCTAAAGCTAAGCTAGCGCTAAGCTAAAGCTAAAACGAAGCTAAAGCTAAGCTAAAGCTAAGCCAAAGCTAAATCTAAGTTAAATCTAAGCTAAAGCTAAGCTAAAGGTAAGCTAAAGCTAAGCTAAAGCCAAACCAAAGCTAAGCTACAGCTAAGCTAAATGTCATGATAAAGCTAAGCTAAAGCTAAGCTAGAGCTAAGCTAGAGCTAAGCTAAAGCTAAAGCTAAGCTAAAGCTAAGCCAAAGCTAAGCTAACGCTAAGCTAAAGCTAAGCTGAAGCTAAGCTAAAGGTAAGATAAAGCTAAGCTAAAGCTAAACCAGAGCTAAGCTAAAGCTAAGCTGAAGCTACGCTAAAGCTATGCTGAAGCTATGCTGAAGCTAAGCCGAAGCTAAGCTGAAGCTAAAGTTAAGCTAAAGTTAAGCTAAAGCTAAAACTAAAGCTAAAGCTAAAGCTCAAGCTAAAGCTCCCAGGGGACTGGGGGAACCGCGGGGCGGGGGCGGGGGGAACCGCCCGGGGCGTGTTCCACTGCCCGGCCCCCTTAAGCTAAGAGAGTAAGAACCCTTCTAGGCAGAGCCTAGGTAGGGAATACAATTACAAATAAATGCATAACATATGCCTCTCGCTCCTCTCTTTCAGGCGCTCGCCCACGATGGAAAACCCATCATTAGTTCCTGTCCTCTGTTTCGGGCGATCGCGAATCATGCCGCGCGTCGGCTGGCCAGGGGAAGCGGTTCCAACCTCCTCGGACGAACTGGGCGGGCAACGAATGCGCGAGCGCGACCTTCGACGCGAGAGTCCAAGCGCCCTTAGCCCGCACTTCAGGCGCAAGCAGCGCACGCGCTGATCATGACTCCGTTTCCTGCCAGCAAGTACCGCGCCACATCCGCGAAGCCCCTCTGAAACGCCCGAGGTGCGTGAAGGATGTCGCGGCAGCGCGCGCCCGCGCTAGGGCGGCGTCGCCGGCCGAGGTGCCGCGCCGCCGCCAGGTCGCGCAGGGGCGGACATCATCCTCCAACCGTCCCCGCGCACTGCTTCGCGCGTTCTCTCGTGCGAGGCGTGGTCGAAGCGCGCCCCCGCGAACGCGTGCAAATCGCACTGCTGCTGGGATGCCGCGAACTGGTGAATCTCGGAGCCCAATCGGTTGCGACCCCGAACCGTCTTACTCGTTGCGGCGCGGCGCCGGCGCTGCCCGCTCCCTCGCCGCCTTCTCAGCAGCGCGCTCGATGGCGACAATGGGGCTGGTCTGCCTCGACCAACGCGTCTGCCTCCGAACTCCCCTGGCTCATCTCCTCAACTCGGGGCCCCAGCGACCTGGCCGCTACCTCAAATCTCTCCATCTTATATCTCGTCGAAGGCGCGCGCGCACGCCCTCATCCGCGCCCGTCGCGGATGCTCGACGAACAAGGCTCGGAGCGATGATGTTCTGAGTGGCCGCCGCGCCAGGCAACCCCCCACTTGCCTCCTCGCTCATGCGCATGTTGCCCCCGTCCAGACCCGTCCGACAGGAGCTGCTGGACGTGGTGGACATGCCGCTGCCGCGCGTGCCATTGTCGGCTTCCACGCCCTCGCTGGACTGGGTGACCTGGCCGCCCGCGCCCGCGCTCGCCTCGGGGCCGGGGCCCGTCGCGCCCTCGACCCCGCCCTCCGAAGCGAGGCAGACCTGGCCGAAGTCGTCTCTGTCGCCCCCCCCAACCTGCCCATAGCGGGATGGGCGCGGGGCAGGCGGTGGCATCGGGGCCCGGTTCGCCGCCGGGGGCTCCGGCCGCCCGTCCGTCGACGGCATTGGCGCCAGGGGGCTCGGGGCGCCGG